GCTAGCTGCGGGCGGCGCGGATGGCGGGCGGCGCGGGCTGGGCGGGCGCCCCCGCGGCTCTGCTGCGCTCAGTGCGCCGCCTGCGCGAAGTGTTCGAGGTGTGCGGCCGCGACCCCGACGGCTTTCTACGCGTGGAGCGCGTCGCGGCGCTCGGCCTGCGCTTCGGGCAAGGCGAGGAGGTAAGGAGCTCGGGCGCGTCCCCAGGCCGGGGAAACCGCAGGGACCCCGCGCGATCACATTCCGGGCCTCTGTGTGTCACATGGCACGCCCGCGGTGGCCGGCCAGCCCACCTGCCGTTCCCTCTGGTCCGTCTCCAATCCTCCTTGTTGTCCGGGGAGGGGAAAGGGTGCTCTTAAAATCCTGCCTCTGAACACCCCCTCCTACACACAACCAAGTCACAGGGGTATGTGTGCAACGCGCCAGGCCTACGGGTGGGTGACAGGGATAAGCAGAGATGTTCTGCAGTCTCTGGTCCTTGGCTGCACCTACCCAACCTAGAAAAGAGAGGATGTCTGCTCCAGGCCACCCTGGATTCTGGTCCAGTTTCTGGTGACCTCCTACTCAAGCTAGATGGGCAGGCCTAGCTGGCAACGGACTGTGCTGGCTGCAGAGGGCCAAGCAGGACCAAGCCGGGAGTAGTTAGCTGAGCCTCTGGTGTTGCTGTTGGGTCGCATGGGTGGAAGAGAGCAGAATTGTGGGGACTGTGAGCCAATCTAAAACAGCAGGCTCTGAACTGGCAGTGCGTGATGAATAACTATGCATTGGGCTAGTGTCCTCTTGCCATCCTCACAGGGGCTAGTATCTGTGTCTGAGGGAAGGACAGGACACCGTGTTAATGCAACCCTGCAGTGTTTAGCATCTCTGGATTCAGAAGCCCTGGCTGAGCTTTGGGTTTCTAAGGTCGTCTGAGACCCCAGGTCCTATGTGGGGAGCTCTGGGGCCTTGGTCTCAACTGTTGTACTGGATGGCATTCTGTTTCCAGGACAGGTCAGGATGGCAATTTAGAACATGAGCTATGACCAGCTGAGCTGGTGTCTTCTAATCACCTGACAAGTGGGAGGTAATAACAACCCCTTTCTAGGTGGCTGGGCACTCGCCAGAACTTGGAAATCCCTGAGAGCAGGAGGTGGAGGAGGAGGGAGGCAGGAGGCAGGTGTCAGGTGTGAGGACTCTGATCCCCAACCCCAGGCAGCTTACTACTGCAGTTCTCCTTCAAGCCTGTTCTGTATCTCTTCTCTGGTTTACTCGGGAGCATCTCTCGCTGCTACCTCAGTCTTTCTTCTACAGAGGATGCCAGCGTCCCTCTTCTTGGCCAACGTCTCCTACCTGAGCAGGCTGAGGAGCCCCTAGCACAGGAGGCTGAAGGCTGCAGATGTGGAAAATCCCCCTTGCTTTGGGCTAAAACCTGGAATCCAGAATCAGAAAACCTCAGGCATGGGAATGGCCTCACTGGGACCTCTGGCAGAAGGCGAGCCCTTTAATGGTGTCCCTAGGCTGGACAAACACCTCCCACCGTTAGATCCTCTCCCCTTTATACTCCACACACAAACCAGCTTGTCACTGAGTCATCCTGGTTCTGCATAGGGACCTACCTGGGTTTCCCTTCTGTACTGTAGTCTTTAAACATTTGAAAACATCACTCCTCTTCCCGTGTCCCTTCCCACCCTTTCACCCCTGTCTGGAGCGCCAAGCCATCTATCAGGAGCTGGACTCCTACAGAGGCCACTAGTGAACTGCTAGACTGTCTTCTTAGCATTAGAGGGGCTAGACCTGAGTAACATAGACACATGGGGTGGGGCTACCTTTTCAGTGGTCCTACACACTCTCTTCTCTTACCAAGTTCCTGGCCACTAAAACCTTTGGAGATCTGTTTGGAAAACTTCTGCCTAGGCAGAGACCCTCCACTCTGAGGCTGGCCAGTGAGCCCTGTATCATAGCAGGAGTCTCTGTGGACTACAGCAGGTTGCAAATGTGGACAGTCAAAAATAGATCTGTTATATTTCTGTCCCCCAGGGAGGTGACACTCTGGTCACCTCCTTCACAAGCCGCTCCTGTGCTTATATGTAGCTTTCTACATGAAATGAGATCATACTGCACCATGTATTCTAACCTGGTGCACCCGCCACCACACACACCCAGAAATGATTCTCATGTTCGACCTTATATAAGCTGTCATCAAGTTTATTATGCAGACCTGTTACACATTTCTCTACTTGGCCCCAAAATGTCCACTTCTGATGTTTTTTGTTTTGTTTTAAGCTTGATGTCTCTCTCTCTAGGACTGTGCAGCACACCTGTTCCGTGTGACTCTGGCAGTGTGACCCTGGCATAGTCCCCTCCAGTATTCTGACTTGTTAATGAGGTCAGACTGGTCGTCTCTCATTTGTTTTTTAAATCTAAGCCGGTGGCTCGTTCCTTGCTCCTACTCAGTCTGATCTTGTTTCCTCCTGAGACCCTCTGGTCTGGCCCACAGCGCTGTCTGCAGCAGCTGCTGCTGTCTGTGTGGGGATTCTGGGGCTGAGGGGAGAGGATGCAGGACCACGGACAGGGCCTGAGGCTCAAAGGGTCTGCTCTGCTGTTTCCATACCGAGGCCTGTGGAATCCTGTCAAATTCACAAATACTCTGTAGCACTGTTCCTTGTAGATGGGGTTCGCTTCACAAGTGCTGTGGGCTCTGACTGTTTCTGTTGTTTGTTTACACATCTGCTTGTGACATTGATTCCCCAACCCACTGGTGCTCCTGATGACGATCGACCATTAGTCAGACATGAGATTTGATATCTACACTTTACCAGCTGCCTTGGCATACCATGGAGCCTGGGATCAGTCACAGTAGGTCTTAGAGACTGAAATACCCTTGAGAGTATTGAGTAGACTCTCAAGTAGTAATGCAAAAATCCCCTACACAGGAGAAACTCAGGGGCTGAGGATGCAGTGAGTGCTAGCCTGCTTTCCTAGCACTTGTGAACCCTGGATTTGATTCTCAAAACTACATTTTTTTAAAAAAAGAAAAAAGATATAGCTATACACGATTGAGCCCGTCAAAATCCTGTCATGGTGTGGGGAGGGATGCACGGGGCCCTAGCCCTCCATGAACATTTTTAGGCAGTTAATAGTAGCCGTGGGGGAGGGGCTCATGGGGACTTGTCCCTCTCTAAGGGCCTACAGGCAGTTAATGGTTGCTGAGGGAGGAAGAGCCGGTTGCTTTAATGCTGTAGCTGCTGGTGAGGTGGCCATGCTTCTGTAAATAAAACCTCTCACCCATGTTCCTGTGAGCATCCCTAATGGAGTTCATTGAGTCATTCTGACGGGGAGGGGCAGGCAGCGAGTAAATGAAAGAGGAGTGTTGGTGGTTGGCTAGAAAGAGGAGTGTTGGTGGTGGGAGGGCAGGAGAGGTTAGTGGAGGTTGAAAGTGATCAGCGGACATTCCACACATGCACAAAAGTGATGTAATGAATCTCATTATTGTGCCTATTAATACAGACTAATTAAAAACAAACAGAATTTCAGAGGGAGACACAGCATCATACACCTGTAGGGGCACTTGGGAGGTAGAGACAGAAGGATCAGAAGTTCGAGGCTGGAGCCTGGAAGATGGCCCAGCAGAGACAAGCTTGTCACAAAAGCCTGGTAACCTGGGTTGAGTCTCCCAGAGACCTTACTCCTGGAAGCTGTCCTCTGAACTCCACATGTGCACGGTGGCACCTGTGTGTTCCCACACGCATCACAAAGAAAAGAAATAACAACGCCATCCTTTGTTACAAAGGGAGTTTGAGGCTAGCTTGGGATTCACAAGACCCTGACTCAATAAATAAATAAATAAATTTTAACTATACAGAGAAGATTAACACAGCCCCTGTGTGAGGCTGAGATTCAACTTCATGCTATATTCCATATTTAAGATAAATAAATCTGTAATTTGTATGAGATAATTCCAAAGAGGGGAAGCCTGTCTCCCCCCACCCCTTAAGTATGAGTTACTTTATGACTTTCTCAGAGTCCAGTAGGAGAAGAGGTGAAAGGACAACTTGACAGTGAAGAAAACTGACAAATGCCACCCCAGAATGCCACCAGGGTCAACGCCAGACCTCAGTGTGATGGGAGAGTGTGTTTCCCCCCAGCGCACAGCTATGGTGTAGTTGTTACTACATGGCCATGAGAGAAACAGCAGGCAAGCCCCCTCTGGGCCACTCAGCTGTACTCCTTCCTTGGGTCAGAACTCCAGCGCTCAGGGAAGAGCCATGCTGAGCCTGTCATCTGGGAAGGAAATGCAGAATTGTTCCTGGAGGTGCCCCTGACACCCATGCAGAGACCCACTTGGCAGAAGCACTGGTGAGCCCCAGGCCTTTATATGGGGGGGGGTGGTAGGAGGGGTACAGTTTGCCTCTAGGCTGCATATCGAGGACTGCTTCCTTCCTACCCCAAGCAGTCCCACCGGGTTGAGTACAGAAGGAGACCTGGAACCTGGAAAGCTGTCTGGGCTTGAGAGCTGAGCAGAGCAGAGCCCAGGCAGGGTGCAGCTGAGGAGTCTGCAAACATGCCTCCTGCATTCCCGCTGCCAGTCCTAGCGGGAATGGAACACCTCATATTTTTATAGAATGGTCATTCTGCTTTTGGTTTTTGTTGTTAGTATGTTTTGCTTTATTTTTCATACGGTTTCATTTAACCTAGGCTAACCTCCAACTCACTGTGTAGGCAAGCATGACCTTGAACTCCTGATTTTCCTGCTTACACACCCTGAGTGCTGCGGTTACAAGCCTGTGGCTGTGCCCAGCTCTACAGAGTAATTGTGAAGGATGTCTCCTATTCCATTACTCTCAGCATGTTTCTAGCGTGAAGCCTATTTCCCTCAGTTTGTCTCTTGGGTCCCTGCTAAGTGCCAGGGCTGGGAAACAGCATGGCTGTGAGCCCAAGCCCTCCCGAGTGGGGCTGGAGCCATGGCTACAAAAGAGACTGGCAGCCAAGCATAGTGGTGCATTCCTTTAATCCCAGCACCTGGCAAGCAGAGGCAGGTGGATCCCTGTGAGTTCAAGACCAGCCTGATCTACCCAGTGGTTCCAGAAGAGCCAGGGCTGTGTGGAGAGGCCCTGTTGGGGTGGGGGAGGGAAAGAAAGAGACAAAGAGACAGAGATAGGGAAAGGGAGGGAGGGAGAGAAGGAAGGAAGAAAGGAAGGAAGGAAGGAAGGAACAAGAGGGAGGAGGGGAGGGAGAGGAAGAAGGAGGGAAGGAAGGAAGGAAGGAGAAAGAAAGCCGGGCGGTGATGGCGCACGCCTTTAATCCCAGCACTTGGGAGGCAGAGACAGGAGGATTTCTGAGTTCGAGGCCAGCCTGGTCTACAGAGTGAGTTCCAGGACAGCCAGGACTATACAGAGAAACCCTGTCTTGAAAAACCAAAAAAAAAAAAAAAAAAGAAAGGAAGGAGAAAGAAAGAAATGGGGAGGGAGGGGAAAGAAAGTAGGGGGAGGAAGTGTGAGTGTCTGTCTGACAACTTACAAGTGGACACCCTTAGGGACTCTGCTAAAATCCATTACTTACAGCCTCTATGTCCTCAGCGACAAGGTAGCAGAAGAAATAAAATCCCCAAAACTGATATACCAGGCCTCCAGGTAGCCATAGCCCAGGTTATCACAGTGAGGTCTCATCTTTGCTTTGGACTCGTGTCCTAAGTCCACCCACATCTTACTGCTCATAGCTTAAGGCACAAAACTCAGAGAAGATTGAGAGAGTACTTTGGAGGTGGCTCATGTAGTGACCACTGTCCCCAGGAGGGTCCCAGGCTAAGGTCAGCACCCAGACAAAGCAGCCACAAGGCTCCTATGTACACAACCCAAACCTGAAGGTAGTGGTGTGGGGGATGGGGAGCTGAGGTTTTTCTATGAGACCTTCCATTCAGTGTCTTTCTAGAATAATCCTAGGGAGAGTTGGATGCTCATCACTTCCAAAGCCAGGCCATCCTGTCTAGGCAAAACTCTGAGTCCCTTTCATGGAGTGACTTGAGGCTGTCTTAGCGCTCCATCTGCTTGGCCTTCCTGCAGCCTACCCATTCACCCACCCATCCACTCACTGGGGAATCCATTTGTCCACCCACCCTTCCACCATCCACCCATTCATCACCTCCTGTATCCAGCTTCTACTTTGCAGATCCATCCGTCCACCGAGCCGCCTGTCAGCACTGTCTTCCTCCATTCCTCATTCACTGTGTGTTTAGTGAGGGTTTATATCGCTGTGATAAAACACCATGACCAAAGCATCTTGGGGAGGAAAGGGTTTATTTGGCTTACACATCGCTGTTCATCGTTGAAGAAAGTCAGGGCAGGAACCTGGAGGCAGAAGCTGATGCAAAGGCCACAGAGGGGTGCTGCTTACTGGCTTGCTCTCAGTGGCTTACTTAGCCTGTTTTCTTAGAACCCAGGACCACCACCCACAACGTGCTGGGCCTTCCCACGTCAATCACTAATTAAGAAAATGTGCTGCAATTCCCTACAGGCTTACGTACAGCCTGATTTTATGGAGGTACTTTCTTTAACTTTTTAAAAACTACTTGTTTTAATTTATTTTTTTTTAATGTGCATTGGTGTTTTACCTGCATGTATGTTCTGTGTGAGGTTGTCAGATCCCCTGAAACTGGAGTTGTAGACAAGTGTGTGCAGTCAGTCATGTGGATGCTGGGAATTGAACCCACGTCCTCTTGAAGTTCGGTCAGTGCTATTAACTGCTGAGCCATCTCCAGCCAGGAGACGTTTTCTTAACTGAGGTTCTCTCCTCTCAGATGACTTTAGCTGTATGAAGTTGACATAAAGCTGTCCCGTACACCCATCCTTCTTTAGCCGTCTGCCTGTCCATTCATCCACCCACTAGCGCAGTCTTTACTGCCGCAGTGCATATGGCCAAGCACAGACTCAGGAGTGGGACCACATTGTCACGGGATGCTGAGTGACTGTATGTAGTTAAAGTCACACAGGAAGGGTGCGGAGAGTGAGAACTGAGGCTGAAACAGGGGCAGATGGTGACCAGAGGGATGAAACAGGACTGTCTGGTTCTTGTGTTTAGAAGGACAGCAACATCCCAGTGCATGCTGTCCTAGCTGGCATGAACTATTTTTATAATTTCTCTATTCTGCAGGCTGTTGCCTGTGGTAAGGTCTGGGGTCATCTTAAAAGGAGTTGCAGCCTGGCTTCTTCTTCAAGGAACTTATTAGGAGGGATGGGTCTGCCTGCTTCTCTATAAAGTAGAGCTCACGTGGCTGAAGAGACAGCTTAGTGTGGCTCCTCCTGCAGAAGGCCTGGGCTTGGTTCCCAGCACTCACATGGCAGCTCACAGCCAGCTGTAACTCCAGTTCCTGGGGATCTGGCATCTTCTGGCCTCCCATTGTGAGCTGTCATGCCGGCACTGGGAACAGAACCAGGTCCTCTGGAAGAGCAATCTATGCTCTTAACTCCAGCCCAGATGATTTTTGGGTCTGTTTGTTTGTTCAAGACAAGATATAACTCCGGCTGTCCTGCAGCTCACTCTGTAGACCAGACTGGCCTCCAACTCAGAGAGATCCTCCTGCCTCTGCCTCCTGATTGCTGGGAATAAAGTCATACACCACTACTGCCTGACTTATAATTTTATAATAATCTTTTCAAAAAGGATTCATAAATAGCGGTCAAGGCGATTCTTTGAGGCTAGCATAGGCTTACCAAACCCTCCCCTGAGTGCCCTGGACTATGGAGGTGTCTCTAACAGCCCTCAGGCCCAGATGCTGCTGTCCCTTCCTACATGGTACTTTCCACTGCAGGCTCCCTTGTGCAGGGAACAGAGTTCTTCCAGCCTCCACTGGTGGTTTCTTTGAACAGGAAGAATAAGGGACAGACAGAGCCATTGCCTCCCGGCCTTTGTCTTTCTCCATTCATCCACAACCAGAAGAACCAAGAGCTGAAGTGACTTGTGCAGGGCCCATGAACACAGGTCTTGCTGCCTTCTTACTGCCTGCAAGGTCTGAGGTCTATGGCTCTCAGATGCCAGGGATGGGAGAAACCATGGTAGAAGGCTTACCTGGCTTTCTGAGCCTGGAGTGGCCTGGTTGGAAGCAGGACTGAGCAGAATTGGGTTGTGATCTGTGAGCCCATTTGGAGCCCAGCAGCAACCCAAGTAAGTGTTCTGAAAAGACAGGAGGCCTCTGTGGAAAGCCCAGAGGCCAGAGGAATTGAGGCTTGGGGTGGAAGAGGCTGCCAGTAACCACACCCTGTTCTGTTAAGTAGGCCGGAGAATGTTTTCTTGGGCTTCTCAGCACCTCTGCTTTCCCATGACTTGCTCCCCAGTAGGAGCCTGTTCTGTTTATCCCACCTGCATCTCAGCTCTGGCCAAATGGCCCTCCCTTCGGGGGGGGGGGGAGAGGCACTGGCTGCAGGCATCTCCCCAACTATGAGATTCCAATATATCACTGTGCTGCCACCCCCTAGCTACAGTGGGGCTGCTCACCCCAGTGCCTACTGGATCCTACAAGTGACTGTTAACTCTGAGCGCTGGGTGTGGTTGAATGAGTGAGATGTCCATTTGTCTGTCCATAGGCCTTTTCTAGTGCCTGCCCCGTGTCACACTGGTGGCTCCAGATCCACAGATGAACAGGGCATTCCTTTGCTTAGCTCCCTAATGTGGTCAGGAAGGCTAGGAGAGAAACCTGGAGGTGGGTGAATGGGGGGGTATTTTTACATCCGTGTGTGTGTGTGTGTGTGTGTGTGTGTGTGCGCGCGCGCGCGCGCACGCGTGGTGTATGATTTGTAGTAGGGATGTTGATGGATTACAGTATGATGCTTCAGTGCATACATGTACTGTGGAATGCGCCAGTCAAGTTAATTGACCTACTTCCTCCAGTTCTCAGCATTTCAATTTGGTGAGAACATTGCAAACCCACTCCTG